AAAAAAAAAAAATCTAGACATAGTCTCGCATTATATAAAAATTAACTCAAAATGAATCACGGACCTAATGTAAAATCTAAAACCATAAAACTTTCAGAAAGAAATGTAGAAGAGCATTTTCAGGCCCCAGGGCTTGATGAAGATTCTTAGACATGACACTGAAGCCCGATCCATAAAAGGAAATATTGATGAATCAGACTTCATCAAAATTAAACACTTTCGCTTGTACGAGAGCCCGCAAGGAGGCGCACAGTTAAGTGACAGCGGGGGAGGGATACATGCAAACCACGTCTGATGGAGGACCTGTGGGAATTCTCAAATCTCAACAGTGAAAGGCCAGTCCGATTAGGAAATGGGCAGAAGACACGAACAGACACTCACCGAAGAGGATGTACCTACAGACGGCAAATGGACACAGGAAGAGAAGTTCTGCATCATTCACTGTAGGAAACCACGTACTGAAACCATCAGGAGGTGCCAACATGCACCTGTCCGAATGGCTAAGACAAAGAGCAACGACAACACTGAATGCTGGCAAAGGTGCTGCAGCTGGGTCACCCGAGACAGAGCGGATGTCACATGGTGTGGCCCATCTAGAAAGGGCATGGACGATTCTCACAAAACTGATCACGCGCTCACCATCCGGCTCAGCGACTGTGTTCTCGGGCATTTACTCCAGAGAAATAAAACTACTTCACACAAAAAGCTGTGCGTGAATGAATGCTCTTAGCAGCTTCATTCACAATAGCGCCAAACTGGAAACAACCCAAACGCCCTTCAGTGGGCGAATGGTTTGCACACTGTGGTACGTCCGCACCATCGAAAAGGAACGAGCCACTGACACACAGCGTGGGTGAATGTCCACAGAATCATGCCGAGTGAAGACAGCCAGTCCCAAAGCTAACATACTGCTGTGATTCCATTTACATAATATTCTTGAAATGACAAAATTACAGAGGTGAAGGACAGGTTAGTAGAGGGTGGGTGGGTGGGGGGTGGCTTTGGCTATGAGAGGAGAGCATGAGGGTCCTTGAATGGACTGTTTTTTGTCTTGATTGTGGTGGTCATGAAGCTACACATGTGACAATACCACACAGAACTAAACACACAGACACACAACTGAGTGCAGGTAACACCAGTGAGGTCTGAGTAAGGCATGGATAGTCTCCTGGGTGGGATCTTGTACCCTAGTTCTGCAAGATGTTACAGCGCACGGGGGTGACTGGGTGAAGGTTGATGGAATCCATTTGTATTATTTCTTACAACTGCATGTGAATCTACAATTATCTCAAAATAAAAAAATTAAAAAGAAGACATTTCTCCTAGTGAAATCCTATCTGGAAACCCACTATCTTGTGCTTGGGCAGGGCGTGAGAGGGGAACAAAGCCGGCCCTCTGCTTCCTCACGGAGGCACCTCATGGACCCTAGGGACCCCCAAGCACTGGGCACAAATCCTCTTGGGCCTCCCATGTCATTCCAGTCTGGCCTTTTTTTGGGGAACTCTAATTTTGATTCCACTTTCTGGTGAACTTGCAATCAGCAAAATCTCATTTCTTCATGGGAAACATCTATGTTCTAGATCTGCCAGTAACTCAGGAGGGGTTTATCCTACTAATCTGAACTCATGAGACTTAGGGTCAGTTTCAAAGCTGGGCAAAGAAGCCTTGGTGGCGGCCATTCAGTGAAGACCTGCTTTGCTGGATGGGGGACGCACATCAGTTGCCTTGGGCACTCACAAAGATGTAGGATGAGCCCTTCCTGTGTGCAAAATGCCACCACCCTCCTGCCCAGGGGTGGGAGAGAGCCACCCAGCGTGTGCAGGCCAGGACTGGGGTGGGCTCCTGCTGGGCTTTTGAGAAGAGGAGCTCTTTCCCCAGGGGCTGCCCATCTGCTCAGGAACAAGCCAGCAGCTGCTGAGGCCACTGTGGTCACAGGAAGAGAGGACCTCCCCAAGAACCGACCAACACAGAGGAAGGCAGAATTGAAAAACGGCAAGCCAGATTCTGGAAAATTCCAGTTCAGCCACGGGATACTGCCACACCTGAAACTACCATCCACCTCTGGACTTTCGGTAATGTGAGCAAGGCACTCCCTTTTCTAGGGAGCACTGGATTTCTGCCCACGCAAGAGGTCTAAGGGCTGTGTCCCACATGGAGGGTACTCTTGACCCCAAAGCACAAGGCATGCTGCTCTGCCGGAGGGGCCAGGCCACCCCCACCCTCCATATCCTCTAAGCCAGCCAGGGTGAATCCACAGTGCCAAAGAGGACTCCATGAAATTGAGGGGAGACAGGGGCTGAGGAAGGATGTGGGGAGAACACAGGGTCCTCATGGGATCCCAGGCCCCAAGTCTGCTTGCTGACGTCCCCAAACGAACTCCCTACACCTTCAAAGGTTCTTCTCTGGCTGAGTCAATATTTAATCTATCTTTCCATTTGTCTTTCATTAGAATGCACATCTGAAACCCTTCATTAGCCTATCATTCCAGAGCATAATGACTAATTTCTGGTGGTAGTTTTTCCTTATCCCACAAAGGCGCTGTGTAAAACCCTTCTATTACTGTAATTTACTGATGGGAGAGAAGAAACTGTGGAGACGATTTCCAAGTCCCGGGGAGTTTGCTGCTGAGAACGGCAAACCGTGCTTTGTAGCGACGCCGTCTCCTTGCCCTTGGCCGGGCTGAGTGAGGGACCCTGGGGCCGGGTTCAATGGCAGCGTCCGTCTTCTGCTTGTTCTGGGACCAGAGACAGACCCCGAGTCCCCCAAGAGGCTCATTCAACTCAAACACGGTCCCTGGGAGGCTTAGGAGTGTGTGGGGAAAAAAGGGCCATTCAAGAACAAGTGGACCGACAGGCCGCCTGCCCTCCCAGGCCATGACCTGTACTGCGATGGCTGTGCCAGCCCATGGCTCTCCAGACGTCAAGGCTTAGGGGATTTCTGAGGAGGAGACGCAGCAAATCTGCTGCTTTTGTCATCTTAATGAGAAAGCCAGTTCTGCATTTGGGAAGACTTTCCCCATGGATTTGTTTAAAAATAAAACAAGGGAGGTTTGATTTGTGAAAGAAAGGCCAGGAGAATCCAGGCACCTTTAAATAGTATCCTGGGTCTTGGGAAGAGAGCCCCCCCTGCTTCTGTGTTAACAAGAAAGCACCCCCAAGCCTGCTGCCCCCCTCCTCAGCTCCTTGCTCCTTCAAGACATGCTGTCGGCCGCCAGCATTCATTCCCTTTGGCTGCCAGTGCTAATCTGCCCACCTGCCACCTGTCCCTGACCCTCTAGGGACTGCTGGGGATGAGTGGCCCAAGGTTCCCGCAGAAGTAATGTCACATCCCGTTCCCTTCGGTGACACTGGACTCGCCTGTGTTTCACAATTTTGAAAGACAATCAATCGAAAACACGATTCACCTTGTTGAAGTAGCGGCCCCTGGAGAGAAGCTATGACAACCACCTCTGGTGGTGGCAAGTGATGATAAATGTTGCCTCCCGCCCCAGAGCTGGAGGCGGCACACCATGCTGACCCCTCGCGGGGCCCTGCTGGAGCAGGCAGTGCTCCTTGGAAGCCGGCCCGGGCCCTTGCACAGAAACAGCCTGCGGTCTGCCCGGCCCGCAGGCCTCCCTTCCCAGCTGGGGCAGTGGCTGGAGCTGGGGCTGGGCTTGCTGGCTAAAACACAGGACACTCAGTTCAGATCACCAAGGAACACCTTTCTAGTGTAAGTATGTCCTGAATGTTGCTTGGGGCATACTTATCTTTAAAAATGCCTTGTTGTCTACTGATCTTCAAATTTACCATTGTATTTGTATTTTAGTAGCCGCACCCAGCAGGACTCCTCAGTGACCTCCTCCCCCCGCCAACCCAAGCCAGGCACAGGCTGGTGCCCTGCACCCCCCACAGGAGATAGCACAGTATATGGTGGGGCACTCTCTCTTCTCAAACAGAAATCACCTGGGTGGTCTGCTAATTTGCAGACCCCAGGGCTCCACCTGCAGGGTCTGCATCTAGAGGTCCAGGCGTTCTGCACTTGTGACAAGCTCCCGGTGCTGCTGCCACCTGTGGGCCATGCTGGGGGCAGATGGTCCAGGTTCCAGGTTCCAGCTCTAGCCGGGAAGCCGACGCCTGGGTTCCGACCCACAGGCCCCCGAGGGGTGTGAGCAGCTCGCTTCACCTCCTCAGGACTTGAGTCCCCTCATTGCTAAAGGGAAGGGGGATGCCCACTTCTTGGTAGTTATGGGACACGGAGACAAAGACATGACACACGCTTAACAAGGGCCCCTGACGCACAATGAAGCAGCCGTCATATCTGTGCTAGACTGTAAGTCTGTGGGGGGATGGGCACTCGGGTCAGCCCTGAGGGAGCCAGAGGGCCTTGGCCACATGGGCTTGCCCTTGGGGCCAGGGAGTCTAGCCCTCTCTCGCATCCTATTGTGCTTGGAACCAAAACCAAAGTGTGGTCCATGAGACCCGGAATGGTGGGTCTTTCTCTCTGACCTCATCTTCTGCCCCAGGACCTTGGCACATGCTCTTTCCTCTCCCAGGCTCCCTTCCAGCACCTGCACCAACCCCAGCCCTCTCTGGATGCTGCTCCTGTGCAGGCTTCACCTCCCAACCTACAATGTCCCCTCCATGGGGCATCCCTGATTGACAGCTGTTCTGGTGACTCTCAGGTCCCTGGGCTTCCTTCTGAGCCCATCACCATTGCAACTACTTCTTTTGCAACTTGATTTTTTTTTTGGCTGGATGGTGCAGGGATCAAACCCTGGACATCGGTGCTATCAGCACCGTGATTTAACCCACTGAGCTAACCAGCCAGCCTCTGACCCTGCTGCTTGTCTGTGTCCCCCTCTGGACCCTGAGGTCCGTGAAAGCAAAGACCCCGGCAGACACCTGTGATGTTGTGTGTTGTGTGTTAATGGCAAGTCCCATGATGCCGTCATGGTCCCTAGCAGACGGGGCATCCCCACTCCCCAGCCCCCTGCCTGCCCCCCCGCCAGACCCACAGCTCACCTGGCTTGGAGCCCTCGTCCACAGAGCCGTTGTAGACCTGGTTGATGAATTCGGGGCGGTTGTCGTTCATGTCAATGACATAGATGTACAGGTCGATGGGGTTCTCCACCTTGTTCCCGTTCATGTCCACGGCGTGGGCACGTAGCTGCAAAGCAGCACATACAGGTCAGGGCCCACGGCCACGCTCGGTGGGGACACCCTGACATAGGGACCCACAGCATTGGGGGGTGACATGACAGTTCTGGCCCCTCGGGACAGTGGGGGCAGCCGGGCAGGGGGCAGGTGGGCTTTGGACATGTCGGAAAACTTCTCTGAGCTTCAGTTCTCTCCTTTGTAGAAATGGGGTCAACACATAGGAGCCTGAACCTGACCTGAGGCCCCCCAGAACCCCTGATGGCCGAGGCACACCCAGGACCTCCCAAGCCTGTTTGGACTGGTCCATGATCCACCAATCACCCTTATCGAATGTCCGGGGTAGGACAGGCGCCCCTTGGGTGGGAGTTCACGTCCACCTGCAACAGCCACAGCAAAGCCCTTTGTGCCCAATGGGGTGGCAGGGCTTACACTCCTGCTGCCAAGAGTTTGATCTGGGTGAGGTCTAGGAAAGAGGCACATGGGGGTGCACAGAGAGGCCTGAGCTTGAGCTGGGCATAAGGTTGATTTGGGCGTGCACTGGTAGTGCAACCAGGACGAGTTTCAGGCATATCTGCCTCTGCTTGCTGTGTTAGTTCCCAGGCTTGGCCAGAGATGGGGACAACCAGGGAGAAGCTGGGCTCGGAAGTCCCTCCTGCCCCCTGCCGGAGAGGGGGCTCCAGGAAACTTCATAGGGAGCTATCTTCAAGGTGAAAGGATATCCTGAACTTGGGCTGGGAGCTTCCAGAGGGGCTGCTCAGACTTACCCCTTAATTTTGGGATTTGTTCTTTCATTCATTCAATCATTCATTCACTCACTTATTCATTTATTCAATAAATGCCTGTCCAGGGCCTACAAGTGCCAGGCACTGGGCTGTACCCTAGATTATTGTGAAAGAAAATAGACATGGCCGTCATTGGAGCTGAGAAAGAAAAGCAGCAAACTGTTGTTAGGGTGTAAGGGCAGGACCCACAGGGTCGGGAGAGGTCAGGGAGGCCTCTCAGAGGAGGGGACATTTGAGCTGAGACCCCAAGAGCAGGATAAGGAAGAGGACACAGAGTGGCCAAGCACTGTGGGCAGGAGAAAGGCTGGAGCTGGGCAACGGGGACTTCGGATTTTAGGGTAAAGAACCAACACTTGGAGAGTGGAAGGGGTTTGCCTGAGGTCTCTCCATGCCAAAACTGTGACTGTCACACACCAGTGTCCTTAGCTCATATCCGTCTGCTGAAACCACGTCACCCTTGAGTTGGACACGTCAGACCTCAAGGTCTTTGCAGGAAGCTAGTGCCAAGCCAAGGGTGTCCAGGAGAAGAGCCTGCACTGGAGGCCTGCGGGTGGGAGGGGGTCTCCTTACTGTCCCGTGGACCACTTCTTGGACCTCTGGGGATCAGGGGTGCTGAGCATGCTCCACCTCCAAGGGGAACACTGGAGCTAATTGTGTCTGTGCCAGCGTCAGTGTTTTGGTTGGTTCTGATGGCCCTGAGTGGAATTATGTCCTCTAAATAGTGTGTTAAAGGAAAATCTTCAGGCTGGCTTTACCCGAGAAGGCAATCTGCACTGCTGTAAGACGACAAATGAAAACTGATTCTAGGGGAAACCACAAATTACAATGTAAGATCTGACTGTGTGCACGCCATATTGGTCCTAAGTACCACGTTTAGAAATCTTGAAACATCGCATGGCTGTCTCAGTCGCCCCACCCAGTCCCTGCAGACTCCCTTGGCCAGGCCAGGACCCACCTGCGCCTCCCTCACTGTGGAAGCACTTCCGATGGGCCGCGGGCCGCCCTTTATCTTGTGTAACTCACCTGCAATAGCACACAAGTCAAAAGTCACAGGGCCTTTGACAAAAGGTAATTCTGAGCTAAAATTAAAGTTACTACTTCCTAACTAAAGTACAACTGCTGGTTTCAGGCGCTATCTTTAGCAGCGGGAGCGGCCAAGTGGAGATAGAGGAATCCCCACCCTGTCCCCTCTCTACCCTGTGCCCCCAAAGTTTTAACAACATTTGATAGCTTCTGTAGGAAACTGCAAGAAAAGGCTTCTCCACTATCCATCTCAGTCTGGGCACCCCTGCTGCAGCTGCAGGCTTGGGGAGTGGTCTGGTCTTGCAGAAAAGAAATGTCCACAGAGGAGTCGCTCAAGCTTCCTGCAACTTGAAGATAAATGAATTTCCTGTGATGCTTTGAGTAGGACATGTTTCTGTTCTCCTTGTGGGAGACGAGGTCAGGAAATAACCATATGCGGGCTTGCTCTTGTGTGGGGGTGTGAGCTGGGGAGGACGTGAGTGCCCGTTGACCATCCTGTGTGTGTGGAATCTAATTCTCTCCCTTTCAGTTGCTCTCTCTTCTTTGTGTTGTAATTGTGGGCCTGAGTTCCCTCCGGGGGGCATGGAACCTGGAATAGTCCATGTGTTCCTTGGAAGTTGCCCTTTCTGGAGATTTTCTTCATCAACAACCTCAGCAGCTGGCACTCACCATGCTGGCTCAGGGTTAGGCAGCACCCTCAGAACTCCACAAGTGTCAACACACTTCAGTTGTCACAAGAACCTGTGATATTGGCACTGCCTCGATCCCTATTTTACAGATGGGGAAACTGAGGCCCAGGAAGATTAGGGAACTTGCCCAAGATGACAACATGTGGTTGGATTCAATAGAGTGTCTTACTTATGGAATCCTGAAAAGATCCTTCTGGAGAATCATCTTGCAGAGCAGATGGTAAACCCTCACTTATGCCAGGTAGCTGAATGTTTGCATGCTGGCTTTCTTAAAGTGACACTTGTCCACAAATCATAAGCATGCTTGGGCTATGGGCACAATCTCACCACCCTTGTTGGCCAAAGGAGCTGGGCAGAACAGGGGATAGAATTCCAGGGTACCTGGGGAGGCAGAACGAGCTCTAAGAAGGTGCCAAGAACGTCGGCGCTGGTCCCCAGATGTGAAGACAATGAGGTGCGCTGTGACTGGGTCACGTTTAGTGGCACGGCTGACCTTAAGGCATGCGCCTTTAAAAACAGAGCCTTCACTGCCATGGCAGGAGAGAGAAGCACCGGTGGCACTCAGTGCTTGCCACTACTGGAAGTGGGGGAATGCAGTGACCTTCAGGAATAGCCAGCATGTCAAGGGGGACCTCAGTCCTGCAGCCTCAAGGACCTAGTCCTGCTACAGCCAGAAGGAATCTGGAAGCAGATTCTTCCCAGAGCACCAGGGGAGCAGCCGGGCCTGCTGACACTTTGACTCTGCTGAGGACACGCGGCCTTCTGACCTGCAGAACGGGGTGCTGTTTCCAGACACTGTTTGTGCTAGTTTGTTACATAGCTGCCCCCAAAGACCCTGGTGGGCGCTCTGTCAAGTGGAAATCCTGAGGGGGTCACGCTGGAGTCTACCAAGGAGCGGATGCCTGCAGGGAGGGGCTCCCATCTCTGGGGAACGGCAGCTGTGTTCTCAGAGGTTGCACGAGACAGAGAATTTGGGCCCAAAAGGAAGGGGAGATCTCAATCTAGAATTCTGCAAATGGATCCAGCATGGGCCCCATGGTTTCCTGCTAACCTGCTGTACTGCGGGGGTGAGAGGCTGGATCTGCTGCTGGGGCAGCCCCACGTGGCCCAGGGGGTGAAGCTGGTCATTCCTCACCTTGAGGATGGGAAACAGGGAGAAAAACACCGACCATCTCTATGAAACTTATTCTAGAACTCAGCACGCAGGAAGTGCTCCGTAGATACCAGCCATATTGTATGACTGCATTTTCTCATCTCCAAAGTGGGGATAAAAGTGTGAGAACTCAGGCTGTGGTTGGAAATGGACGACAATGTCTGCAGGGAAGTGTCCGGCAGTGGCCAAGGCACGCAGAGGCCCAGACACCAAGCCTCATGTGCGTGGCTGGGTGAGTGGGCCTGTCCTTTCACCAGCCCCCATCCCTGATTCTCTGGGCTTCCTCCCTGGCCAGCTTGCCTGGGGAGTGGGGTGGGGCCTGCACTCATCCTTGGTGAGGGACAGGGGCCTTCAGGGGCACCTCGGCTTTCCCTCCAGGCCAAGATGAGACCCCAGGTCCCTGGGGACTCCCAGCTTTCCATGGTTTATTGCAAACCACCCAGCTTCAGGAGGAGCCTGGTGTTGCGCGAGGCTTTGGAGACAACAACGGGCAGAAATAATAAACAGAAAAGTGGAGGTGTGTTTGCAAAGTGCAGAGGGACCGCGTTCTTCTGCACGCCAGCCACGGCCTTGGCATTTGGTGGACTGCAAGTTTCTGCCCGTGAGCAAGTGGAGGAGTTTGGAGGCCGTTCGTCCTGGCCCCCAGCCCTGTGGACCCTCACTGTCGGCCATGGGCTGAGCTGCCAGGCCGGCTACAGGCTGTTCCTTGGCTTCGAAGCACATGGAGGGGGCACTGCCCAGTGGTGGCTCTGGAGGCCCCTGTCCCTAGCCTTGCTGGTGGCAGCTGAGCCCTGAGACCCTCTCCAGAGAGACGGTGAATTAAAATAGAAGGAAAGGAAGAGGACTTGCACTCGGTGCGGCTCTCCCAGCATGACTTTGCATTCAGCAGGTGCTCGGGTCCTGCTGCAACGGGCTTGACGAATGGCCTGAAGCACTCTCCTGCCCATCACAGACACCCTAGATCAGCATCTGCAGGGAGTGACCCTGCTGCCCACGTGTGGATGCACCACAGAGTGACAGGTTGACTGAGCCCCAACTTTGCTTTGGTTAAAAAAAACAACACAGAAATACATCCCTGGAATCCACAAGCGAGATCCAGTGAGACCAATTCTCTTTGCCGTGTTCAACAAATCTCTCTTTCTTTCTCTGTCTCTGTCTCTCACTCTCTGTGTCTCTGGGGCGGCGGGAGGCGGTAGGGGAGGGGATGTAGGAGGGGTCCAGGGAGGTGCTGGGAGACTGGGGGCCCCTCTCCCTCCTCTGGAATGGGAGTGGACACACAGTGGCTGGGAGGCCTGGCCAGTGAGGACCTGTGATGTCTGCATCAGTCGGCCCCAGTGCCTGTGCAAAGGACATCGTTGTGGTGCCCACCTCAGAAGCCGTGGGGGGCGTGGAGGGCGGGCTGAGGTCCAGCCTTGCAGTCTAAGCCCTGTGCACCGGCTCAGGCTCTGCACTCAGAAGCTGCTTGGGTTTGATTTTCACGCTCTGCTCTCAGTGTTGTGAACTTTTTCAGGCATTTTGGGTTAGGGGTGCAGCACCTCACTCTGCACTGGCAGGTTCTGCAGCCACCCCGGACACCTGAGGAGCGGAGCCCAGGCCTGAGCTCACGTGGCTGCTGCAGGCGCTAGCAGCCACGTATGGCCGCGGGCAGCAGGCGCTGGGGTTTTAGCCTGGTCCATGTTTTATGAAAAAGACTTTCCTTCCATGGAAAGATTCTTGAAGCTCTAGAAGAAACGAGCCAGAGAGGACTTGGGCTGCAATGGAGATGCCAGGAGCCTGAAGGCAGGCAGGTGCCCTGCTGAGAGCTGCCACCTCCCAAAAGCGAGACCCAGACTGCCAGAGGCACACGACCAACAGGAACAACGTTCCAGCAGATCAAAGAACCGGTGGACCCAGCCCCAGAGTTACGGCCTCCAGGGAAGAGAGGAAGGAGGAATATCTCAGGCTGAGGAGGAGAGGGCTTTCTTTTAGTGACCACGATCATTACAAATCAATCTGTCTAATCTCGAAAAAAGTGAACTTAATCAGTAAGTGGCCTCTTCTTGTGGCCCCTTTGGAGGCAATGTGCTCTGATGATGGACAGAGAGGCTCTGGAGGACAATCAGGGAAGGAGACTGCAGGGCAGGGGGTGCACCTGCCCAGGTGGGCAATGAAGGGGCCACGTGGGGAGGGTGGTGGGGGCTGTGCGGACCTGGAGTCCCCTGCCCCTTCCTTCTCTCACTCACTCAGTAAGTGTTCAGTGGGTCTTACTTACCGGCTGAGGACCCCTCTAGACTTGGGGTGCAAATGCACCTGAAGAACGAATTCTAGGAGGGACGTGTGCACGTTGGGGGCGGAGAAGAGGGCCAGGGGAGGGGGGAGGGATGGGCGTCCCCAGTGTCTGGCCAGAGCAGTTTGCTGTCAGTGTGCGGTGTGGGAATGGCCAAAAGAAAAGCACACACTCTTTTCCAAGGGTGGCCTGGACTTCAGGGCGGAGCAAGGTCCCCTGAAGGCCCCTTTCTGGGGAGGGCACCCCGAAACTGCCCACGCTGATGCTAGCAGCCGAGGGATTCTGCATCCACTTTGGTCCTGGAGCCTTGGCCTAAAATAACTCAACAGCCCTGACGGTGGGCATGTGTGCTGCAGATACCCACTTCACATCGTTTTCCTCCACATTCCTCAGCCCTGTGAACCAAGTCATCAATCTAGCTCGAAGAGGATACGATTTTCCTTTAGATATGCAGGCACCCGAGGGAAATCTCTTCTTCCACCCAGCTACAGAAAAGCTATTTCTTTCTCGCGTCCTTCTCCCTGGTCCTAGCCCACTGTCTGAGAGGCAGAACCAGGAGGACGCCCAGATGCCCGTCCCAGACACTGCCTCCTGGGCAGAGGAGGAGGCATCGGGTCAGAGCCCGCACCTACTCTTCTCAAAGCTTTGCTCAGAGGCTTCAGGCAAAGAAGGATTGGATGCCTCTTCATCCCACTACTGTGCCAGCTCACAAAAAGCGGGACCATGTCTACTGCATTCATCTCCACATGCCCAGTGCCTGACACAGCGCCTGGAGCAGAGTTGATGCTCAAGAAATGTTCCCTGAATGGATGGGTGGATTCACGGATTGATAATGGGCGGATAGACGGCTGGATAGATGTACTTGGGGCTTGGACAACAGGGTGAAGGAGGAATATCCTTGTGGCTCTGAAGGGACTGACCAGCCTCCCAAGGTGGGCCCCCTGGGTCCCTTGCTCCAGGGTGCAGGGGTCTGATGGTGCACTGGGGTCAGTCAGGAGAGGCCACCCCTGCTAGCAACAGAATCAGCCTGCTCCTACCAAGTCTCTCCCTTCTGCAAATGGTCAGGCAGCCTCCCTGAGGGCCAGGCTCTGTTCTTGGGCCTGGGGACATGGTGTGGACAAGCCTGATGATGCCGTGCCCACAAAGAACCTCCTTCTAGTGACAGGAGATGGACAGTGAATCCTCAACTAATAATCAGCAAGCATGAGAAGCCACAGAGCCAGGCCACGTCTAGCGGTAGGGCTGGAGCCAGGTGAAGGTGGAGCTGGTTAATGTGTCAGCCCCAGGGTGGAAGGCTCTGAACTCGACCTTTGTCCCCAAATGACTCCTGAGGGCTGGAAGTACAGATGTCACAGCAATGGCCACAAACACACACACCAGCCTGACCATGCACCGAGCGCTTGCACACACTAACCTGAGTCCTCAGGGCCACCCTGCGGGGCAGCTGTGACTGTCGTTGTCCCCTCACCTTGCAAGGGAGAGGACTGGGGTCAGGAGAGGGCAAGTGATTTGTCTGGGGTTACACCTGGAGAGGGGTGGGATTTGCACGCAGGTCTGACCCTGGCAGTGTCTGTGCCGCCTCCAGCTGGTGCAAGCTGTCCTCTGCACATAAGGAGCAGGCTCGGGGCTGGGTGCTCACAGCATCACGCCACCATGAGGGTGGAGGACACGTGCTCTCAGCCGCCTTCTCGGGGTCCGGCCCCTCCCCTTGGACAGGCTCAGTGCGGCCAAGGGGACATGAATGGACAGCCCCTTTAAGCTGAGGCGCCGCAGCCTCCAGTTTTCCATCTGTTTCTCCTCCCCACTCATAGCTGCGGGACGGCAGCCGAGCCCACTCATGTCAGAGGCGCTTGCTGCGTCCAGGTGACAGTTGGGAGAGAAAGGGGAGGCTGCGGTGGCACACTCCAGACCTGAGGTATGGGCAGGATGGCAGGCCGTGCTTTAGAGAAGGGCTAGCAGAGCGTGAGGGGCCGACCCTCCAGCAGAGACCGCAGAAGCAGGTGACCTTCTAGCCCAGCGGTTCTGCCCGTGCGCCCAGGCCTGACCACACCCAAGAACGCATGAGAAAGGCACACAGGCGGTGGCCCAGCAGACCCGTGACTCTGACCCAGCTGATGCTGGAGCCCCTTCCATGGCCAGGACCCCGAGGCCAGGCAGGAGTGTCCCGGCAGCCGGGCAGGTTCGTGTCCACACGTCCTGGTCCTGCCGCCTTCTGTCAGCCCGGGCCCTGGATACTCACGTGGTAAGAGGCTCGCTCCTCCCGGTCCATGGGCCGAGTCACGTACATCCGGCCGGACATGGAGTCGATGCTGAAGACCTCCATGGGGGGCTGGTCGGCGCCCACGCCTGTGATGCTGTACCGGATGGGGATGTCGTTGTCTTTGTCAGACCGGATCTGAAAGTGGGGAGCAAGCGAGAAGGCATCAGCCAAGGCGGGAGCGGGGCCATGCCTCCTGTGTTCACCTCGCCCCTCAAATTCCGGCACTTGACCATGTTTGGGGCACATCGGGGACCACAGCTAGTCTTTCATCCGCAGTGGGAACCGGAGTGCAGTCAGTGGTCAGGGACTTACTGGGTGCCACTGACTACACGTCCAGTGGCCCGTCGGGTAACTGGGAAGGCGAGGTACAATGTTACAAGTTCATTGTCTGTATGGGGAGCTTGGGGGCCTGGCACGATGTAACACACTGAGAAGAAAGAGTGGAGACGATGGACTAAAAGGACCTACTGTTCTGTGTCAAGCCCAGGAAAAGACGAAGGCAAGAGATCAGAGCTGCCTCCACAGAGTTTTGAGGGAACGAAGGTTGGGACTCAGTACATTTACGTCCAGCCAAGTTTTTATCCCCGTGTGAAGTCAACAGACATTTTTGGATGTGCAAAGACTGAGAAAATAGCCCATCTCGATCCTTTGACAGATGCACTGGAAGATATGATTTCGTCCCTGATAGGGCACTCACAATTACAATCTCAAGAATCCTAACTCTTGGCGTGGTGACAGAAAACAACTGGCCATCAGTATTTAGAAACAAGTTTAACATGGAAAATTATTAACATGGCCACAGAGCTCAACACAAACATTGAAATGTTCTTTTGCATTGAGAAGCTGTATATTGTTGAAAAAACAATTTAATGGTGGTTATCTGGGTCCTGAATTCAAAGTAAGGCAGCTGAGATCGAGAACTGGGGGGAACGGAGAGCGCCGACACGCACCAAATCCTGCGTTTTGCATATGGTGGGTTGCTTTGCTTTCACCAGATAACTACAGAAACATGAGTCTTCGGGAAACACAAAGGACACCAGTAGAATTAAAAATAAGATGGCTGTTTTTCATTAGCTGAAACAAAATGTCTTGGAATGAGGACAGGGAACTGATGGAGATGCAGTCACAACCGAGCCTCGAAGCCCCAAGGGTTCCCTCGGGAAAGATTAGAAAAGTATAATCAATAAGGTGGTGCCTTGAATGTCCCCCCAAAACTTAATCCCCACGTAACTGTTGAGGATGAGAAATCCTATTACAGTAATTGAAAGGTGGGGCCTGGAAGAGGTGATTGGATTGTAGGACCACGCCATCGTGACTGGGTTAGTGATGGTGGTCAGGGGCGTGAGCCTGAGGGCTTTAAAAGGAGAGCACCTGAGAGCTTAGTCTCTCTCTGCTCTGCCATTTCCTCCGTGTGAGACCCCTGGGTCACTGTTGCCACCACCAAGACCCTCACCAGATGCGTTCCCTGGACTTTGGACTTCTCAGCCTCTGAAACTATAAGCAACACATTTTGTTTTCTTTATAAATTACCCAGTTCCAAGTATTTTGTTATAAGCAACAGAAACAGACTAATAAGGTGGAATTAACGAGTTGCATTCAGTGCTGACTAAACATTTAGAAAATACAACTTTTTAAAAAAAAATCAAAGCCCCGAGACCATGACAACATTTTTAAAATAAAATGAGCCATAGTGAAAATCTCAAAAAATTTTCTACCAAACAAAATTGACCAAGACCTTTTATTGGAATGTTGCAATGACAATTTATTGATAAAACTTAAAAAAAAAGACCTTTTGGGGGGACATAAAAATGTTCTGAAAATAAGAATCAAAACTGCTTTAAGAGGCTATGTAAAAATATTTATTATGCTTTACTAATAACACAACAGTGAGACTATTGTACAGTGAAACCCTGAGATTGTGTCAAAGCACTCCCGTCAATTTAAATGTTTTCATCATTAAAATAGAATTATAGCAAATGAACTAAGCATTCAAGTCTGGGAGGAAAAGAATGATAAAGCAGAATGTAGTAACTCCCAAAGTCATCAATAAAGATGGACGTAGAAATTTCTGAATCCAAAAACAGAAAAGTAGAAGACATGATAAATAGATCCAAGAGCTGTACTTAGGGGGAAAATCCTCAAGAAAATAGATGCACTCTTGCTAAACTTAAGAGAAAAAAATAAGATTTTACGTTTTATTATTCATACCTTATGCGAGCACAGTTGGAAGTCTTGATAAAATTGATCATTTTTTGAGAAAATGTAAAATTTTGAACTGGAGTAAAAGCAAAAGCCACCTGAAGAGACCAGAACTCCTTCTGGAAATTCCTCCTAAAAGCGTTCCAGGCATAGGTAAACCCGCCTGGGAGTTGTCAGAAGCTTTTCCAGAGCAGAGGACGAGAGGGAGACAGAGCGACCCGCTGGTCTACAATGCCTGCCGCGGGACACGCGGTCTCATCCTGACAGCACAGAGTCAGCTCGCTGTAAGCCAGCCCCACACAGGACGCGGACGTGGCGGCCCAAGTGGAGGTGCCGGCCAGCGGGTGTAATCAGGAGTTCACAGGCTCCCTCCTCACGCCTCAGTGAGATTTATCCAGAAATGTCAGGGTGGCTTCTCGCTAGGTGACTTATTTCTGGAGCACAATAGCAATCGCAGGATAGACTCAATAGAAGCTCAAGAGATGTTTGATAAAGAGTATTCTTTACAGTTTAATTTGTACCCAAAAAAGCAAGCTACCCATTCCCCAGAAAAACTCCAATTCATAGATTCATCCCGATGGAGGACATCTTTCCTGAGCCAGCATTTACCATTGATGCACTAGAGTGGCTCCCGCTATACGTGTGGGCTGGATGGCAGCCACACCAGCTGCCCCAGGACTGCTGAGCAACGTCCTGCCAGAGTGGTGGGAAACAGGAAAAGTTGTTTATCTAGAAGGAAGAAGGGGATGACGTTTTCATTATGTAGGCATTATGCTGGCCAATATAAATTCAGGGGCTGTGCCTGGGCTGGCCGAGGGAGGCCTTTGGGAGAGGAAGCATGCAGAACTGCGGTGCACGCACATGCATGCACACACGCTCACACACACTCATGAGTGCACACACACTCATGTGCACACGCTCGCCCCTATACAAGCTCACACACACACGCATGCACACACACTCATGTGCACGCACACTCACACGCGTGCATGCACAGTCTGCAAGGAACCCTTTGTTCTGGGTCCCCTCAACATGCCTCCTGCTTTCCCATGATCTGGATTTTCCTGGCTCCGCCCTGAGCAGTGCACACCAAACCCGGCTCCAGAATACCGATGGAGGGAGTGGCGGGTCCAGGCTGCGGGCCGTCGAAACGCCCCGGCTTTGCTGTGCCCAGCTCAGCCACAGCCACCCCTGCTTCCTCTTGTTGGCACTGCCAGCCGGGCTCCGGGTCTACCAAATTCTTCCTGGCTATCTTGGGCATCACAGGAAAAGACTCCAACTGAGTCTTAACCCACACCACCTTCTACTGCCGGAGGCCAGCAAGGAAGGTCCTTCAGACCAGCCCTGGCTGAGGCACGACGCCTTCCTGGAGGCCCTCTGTGGGCAACACCTGTCTCCACTCCACCCACAAAGAGTTTTCACCCAGATTAGGTCACCAGGGCATTGGGGGCAAAGTCTAGCTTAGAGAGGACAAAACCCTCCTTCCTGTCACCCGTGTCCACTTGCTCCTCGCTGCTAGGAGGAGGGTTAAGGGATCAAATTCTTTTTTTTTTTTTTTTTGTCTTTTTCCGTGTCCGGCAACGGATCGCAACCCTCAGTGTCGCCCCCGTACCGGACCGGGACCGGCAACAGGATCGCAACCCTCGGTGTTGCTCCCGCACCTCGCTCAGCCAGTGAGCGGGAACCGGTCTGTATGTGGGATCCGAACCCTCGGCGGGAGCGCCGCCGCGCTTCCCAAGCAGCGCACTATAGCAGTGCGCCACCGGGCCGGCCCAAGGGATCAAATTCTGCTGAGGAAGAAGAAACTGGGTGATCGAGGCAGAGAACCAGTGCTTGTGGGCTGTGTTGCACCGGCTCAGCCTTCCAGGAGAGTGAGGCTTCTACAGGTGTGGGCAGACCAGGGCAGGGGCGGGCTGTGGCTGGTGTAATAGCCGTGTTTAAAGTTGTTCTGCAGGAAGCAGCAACTGCATCAGTCTAATCTTGGGGCCGAAGAGCTGAAGTTTGGCAAACTTTGCTCATTATAACGCTGAATTCTCTGCCCAAGAAAGAGCTTATGTCATTAACATGACATGGGATGTATAAACAAGCACGACATGAAATTGAGCAGGGGCCAACAAAACCCACCTCTATGTGTGATGACCTAAACAAGACTGTTGCATATTCATGTTGGTACTGAATAAAAGAGGCTCAACTTTCTCTTCAGGGAGGCACTGCTTTGGGAGCTATTCTGATGTGCTCCTTGTTACAAGGCATAGTTTTCCTTTCTCCCATCTGATTTTGGCAGTTTATCTGGAATATGCTCTCCGGGAGGTGGACCCCTTGAGTCTGGGAACACGCAGGCTGGTGGGTTTGGAAGCTCACTTTGACTTTAGGTTAAGAGAAGGGCACTTGGAGTACACAGGAGGCTCTCAGGAATGGTGGCCGAGTTGCAGTGGACTGGGGAGAACGTATCCAGCCAGGCACGGTCTTCTGCAGATAGGCGGTGAGCAGGCGCCGGTGTTGTGGGTCTCAGCAGCTGGAAGGACGGACGTTGCTGGTTTCCTGAGTGTGTTGTTAACGACATTCTTTGGGTCAAACTACTCATCTTTCATAGGGAAATTTAATTATACGACTGCTAAAAAGAGCCCACCATATATTTAAAGAATTTTTTTTTTTTTTTGCAAAGAAATCTCATTATGTTATGACCATCAGGCCGCATGTGCTTAATCCTCTGGGGCTCTTCAGCGGCACCTTCCGCAATGCACGGGTGGTGGGCTGCTGTGCCTGGTGCATGGCTGTGGGCTCCTAGCGTCGGCTCTCGAGATGCTCTGAATTCTCCCACAGTTTATCATATTAAAAGGAAATACTGTGCGAATGAATTCACCAGATCAGGGGAGAGCAGTTTTCCCCTTGATTTGTGTCTGGAAAATGAGAAAAACATCACAGGAGCATACGGT